AGGTAATGTAGATTTGCCAACTCATTGGATTGATACTTGTTTTAAAGTAGCACATGGGTTGTTGCATCATGTCCAAGTCCTCACATCATATACCAAGTAATACATAGACCTACTTACCATACATGTTAGGTCTTTTTATGGTAAGGATTGGATCAAATTAATCTTTTGTTATTAATTGTATAATTTTAGTTTTTCTATTATAAAAATTTATTCAAATTATTTTCTACCATTAAACAGATAAATCCAGTCTTTATGCTAATAAACAATAAAATAAGCTAAATTTAATATTTATAATGTGTTTGATAGAGGTATTATTTTTTCTTGTTTAATATAGATTAATTTTATTTTATATTTTCTATCCACTGAATTTGACATTGAATGCTTATATTTACAACATTCACAGTGCTTGAATCATATATCTTAAAGCACAACACTAATTTCTTTACCACCGAGATCGTTTGATTTGAACGAAAAGAAGTAAATATTTTATTTATTTTAAAGTTGTTTTATTTTCCACGTGAGATTTTACACATTATTCTAGTTTTCAGATTAATTTTCTAATAATTATTTATTTATGTACCAAACGTGAGTTTTATTTCTAATTTATATTATGGATAAACCAATAATTAAGCTTTATATTATGTACCAAACGAGGCATTAATGTTAAAAAAAGAGAGTCAATTACTGTTTAACAAAATTAGTATTTTTTATTGTTTTTATAGTTCTTCAAATGAAATATGTTTTGCAAATGAAAAAAAAATATTGTTTCTTTTATAAAAAAAAATCGACCTTGTATGATTCCTTTAACTAGTATAGGGACCGAATTGATCTATTTAATTGTAGAGAGACTAATTTAATTAATTCTTATAATAGAGAGATTATTTTAAATTGATTCTTCTAATAGAGAGACTAAATTAATACATTTAACAATATAAGAACTAATTTGCCTCACTCCCTAAAATAGGGGGACCCCAATAGTTTCTTTTACCCTTAAAAAACAAGAATATGTCACAATTGATACTTGTAATTGAAAAAGAGTAACTTAAAATGAAGAGAAACACGACAATATTCAGCTCTAGAATTTTTTTTTACTCATAAGTACTAAATCTATTGATAGACTAATCTAAATCAGATATTATTAAGATCTGTTATGAAAACGATCTCTTAATTTGTTTCATTTACAATATCTAAATTTAAACTTTAAATCATGTTTAAAGGACCTAACATCTCATCTCGTTAAATCAACCGATAATTAATTCAACTCCAAAAAAAAATATAAACACCACCGCCATCTTCAGCAAAAGTGGTTGATAGAGCTTGATATCCTCCATCAAACCACCTCCCGCCCCTAATTTTTCTAACGGCTCACAATACATAACACCACATCTCCCTTCACCAACATTTAAATCTCAGCTACTAAGGGCCATATCTACCTTAAAAAACCCTCATTTTTCCTAAGGTAACTCAAATCTTAAAAAAAAAACCTTTAATGGTTCACATATAACCAGAGAGCATTGAATCCCAGTATTTGAGACCCCTTTCACTATCCTTTAAAGTTGCAAAAATCTTTTTAAAAAATATGGTAGGCACAACAAGCCAGACTACAAAGTTCTAGGAATTCACTTTCCCTCGAGCATCATCACCAAGATTATTTATTTATTTATCTGTTGACCTATTCCGACTATAGATACTGTGCTAGTTCAAGTGTGAAACAGCAGAAACATTATATGCACAAACGCCATTCAGAGAACAAATTGATATTAAAATAAGTCTCTTACATTGTTCCAAGTTGCATCACGCAATACACCCGCTGATAAGTAGTAAAATAATAGGCATCTTGAATCTCTGTCATGCCTTACAGAGCATTAACATTAATCTATTTATACCCTAAAAGAAGAGAGAATAATAATAACCTTGTAATAAGACCCATTAGCTTCACTAACAAAGACTATGTTTCCCCAATGATCCCATATCTTGTGTTCTAACAATTTCCAGGCAATGCTACTTCCTTGAAGAAACAAAAATTATAGACAAATCCCACTGGAGATAGCCCCCCCCCCCCCAAAAAAAATAGAAGCTAAACTGAAAACAGCAAACTCCCTATGAAGTTTTATAAACAAACAAATGAAGAAGAACAGATATTCTCTTTCTCCACTTTAAAAAATGCATCGGAATCAATACTTTTTAATTTTTTTTTTTAAAAAAAACCCTGAAATAAAACAACCAAAACGTGAGAAAAATAAGGATTTAGAGATGGCATCCAAAGCAATTACAGGTTTTGGGAGTGAAAGAACAGAAGCCAAAGGGTCTGTTTGGAATGTTGCAATTGATTGCGTAGCAACAAGAGATGGTAAGCAAACACCTTTAGCTCCACCACAGCATGTACAAACAGCGCATATCTGGAAACTCCCCAGCTTTCTCCTGCTCTCATTGAACAGCTTCATCATCTTTATCGCTTTCTCATCCACCAATGGAACCATTTCTGAAGACCCATTTACCTTCAAATCAAGAAACCAACTCAAAATCCACAAAACAAAGGATCAAAAGCCAAGGGATCTATGCATTCAAAGCAAGGTTTTCTGATACTCACTCGTGCCATGCTTGTAGCTTCGTTGCAATTGAAGACATGAGCTGAAACGAAGAGAAACAGGAGAACAAGAGTGACCCCATGACCGGATTTCATGTTTGTAGCAGTGGGTTTTTGCTTCCGGGACTGATTTGATGAACTGATGGTTAGTAAAAGAAAAGAAAGCGAAATGGGTATTGATTCTTTTTCTTTCTTTTACTAGAATTTGTTGAAGAAGAAAAAGGGTACCACTTGCAGTATTTGTATTTAGCTTAATTTTGATTTGGTGCAAATCATAAATGAAAAAAGAATTGTATTTTTTTAATGAAAAGGGGTACCACTTATTAAATATTTGATTCATGCATGTCCAGTGGCGGAAGTATATGATATTCGACGTTTGATGCTCCTCTATTAATGATGAATGTTTTTAAGACTGAAATTTAAGTGACAGATATCGGCATGGTGGCACCAGTCCGTATGAACCAATACTGATTGGTGGATGTTAAATTCTTTTACATCAATGATTCAGCTTTTATCGTAAAAATATTCAGTCCAATTCAAAAGGTGCTATCTTTTATAATCTTATCACTTGGACCGGACATGGTCTCTCCGAGAGGACGTTTCTGGACTGTGTTTCAAATTTCCTTAAATGGTTTGGTGGCATTTTCTAAATAGTAAAAAAATGAAGTGCTGGTGTAACAAAATGCAACAACAAAGCACGAGCCTAAAGAAGTGTAGCACGTCCCTTTAGTGTTTCCTTTTTACTTGCCTTAGCTTTCATAAAAACGTGTGCTTCTGAAAGGCACAAGTCAATTTTCAAAAAGATGGGTTTACTGACCTGAATTTCATTTACATTGACCAAATTATTGGCCATATTCTGAGGATTCACTACATCTTCAAAAGCCTCTTGCAAGGACAAAGAGTATGATGCTTGGTAAAGAAGAACTAACTAACCCCACAAAACATGAGAATCAGTAGGAGTGACTTACAAGCTCATCTTCATTGAGCAATTTATCACGGAGTGAGATCTCCAGGAGCTTCAAAGACTTCGAAGAAATGATGTGGCAAAACAGTACTTTTCCACTTCCTTCTGCAGGAGAGTTGAATGTTTATGCTTCTGCACCACAATTTCTACATACAATCAGGAATAACAAGTCTCAGTGCAAGAAACAACTTAGAGAATCACTCACAAGACTGATCAATATTAGGGCAGATAGTAATTATTACCTCAAGAAACAAGGCTGTTATTAGAAACTGCCTGCATATTTGAGGTTCAAGAAGAAGAAGGAAGAAACAATGGAATCTCAAGCCATAAAGATTCAGAAGAAAACTAGGCAGTGTTAAAAACTGCACACAGAAAGAAGAAAATGCCTCGTACAACATAGTGTAAAAGAAACATAACACCAAAATCAGAAAGGAAAACGAGCTTCGGGACGGCTGAATTGTTCACTTTCGTTTTACCAAATGTGACATAATTTTCAGATTTATACAACGCAGCATTATGAAATTCAGAAGATGAAACTGTTGACTGAATTGCATATTTTTCAGAGAACAAAATCAACTTGACATGAACTTTGCACATCTCCAACAATGGGAAATGAATTTACAGATTTCTCTTCCTCATCCACCAAACTATTGTCAAATGTAATCAGCCATGGTTGTTATAGCTTTTATCCCTCCGTGTCAATATTATCATCACTGGGAGACAACTGTCTATTTTCTGACAGTGAAAGTCGCCTGGGCTTTGTAGAAACTGCTTCAACAAGACCCTCTGGTGACAGCTTTAACCCAGTAGTTCCGGCCGATGATCCCAGGAAATTACGAACTGGGACATCAGATAGAGATGATGCCGAGTAATCGTCAGTGAAAATTCCCATAGGATGGTTAAACTTGCAACTTGGACCAAACCTGCAAATCCCATATCGAGAATAAAATATGCATAGAGGTTCGCCCCGTTAGAATGTAGTAGTAGAGATATCAATATTGTAAAAAATATCAAGCAACAATAACTAGCAACAATGAATGCCCACACATAGTAGTGAACCTCTTCTTGCAAACCAACCACATGCCCCACAAAATCAATGGTAATATTGCATGGAAGAGAAAATAATGAGAAGCAAAGCCACCAAGAACATGTGCAAAATGGATAATGGATAAGCAAAACATTATAAGCTTGTTAAGTAAAAAACGAAAGTAAGAAAAATAAAATAGTAACATTCTACAATTGAAGACGAATCTGTGATTAAAGCTTCAAAACAAGATGACACGATAGGGCTCTCTAGTCTCTACCATCTTATGGTGTCAAAGATTATAAAGCACTTTGTTGTAATCAAAATATTGGCATTACAAAGCTTCAAAACAAGATGCCATGATAGGGCTCTCTAGTCTCTACCAAATCCAAGCAAAAAAGGAAAAAAAAATCCATTTTATGCCACTTCTCTCTAATATAATTTAAAGTGCTGCATGGCAGTCACAAAATGACCAATTGCCAGAAGGCGTACCAAAGCAACATCCATTTTTTAACATAAAAGAATCATTAGCTTGGGCTGCAATTAAAACAATCAGGAAACTAAGTTTTTAAAAGAAAAGGTCATGTAAGATTATAGATGAGGGAATGACATTTTTAGGTAGCATGAATACCAGGTTTTTAATAAACAGCCGTAGTTATTTGAGCAGATCAAGATTCAGAAATAAACTTAAAGAGAGAATACCACTGAAAACATTACTCACCGAGCGTAAAGGAAGGCCTATAGGACTCAACACACAATCAGGAGCAGGAAGAACTCTCTCTCTTGGGTGATGAAACCTACAAACTGCACCAAACTTACAATCTCCAGTCTTCATGTAAAATTGGCACTCGGGCTGGCCAGGTCTTTCTGGGAATACGTTCTCCCTCTGCAAGGCATAAATACCTACAGGGACAGAACCAGAGCGTAATTGAGAAAAGGATGCTTGGGATCCTGAAGTTCCTGATTCATTCTGGTGTGAGGCTCCATAGATTTGATTATTTACATTTGTCTGCTGCAGGTTCTCGGAAGAAGAGGCTGATGTCAGTTGACCCTGGAGAAATCCTGGAGAAATGAAAAGAATTAGAATGGTAGCACTTGTCTCCCTTTTTCTTTCTCTTTTCTTGGATAATTAATGGTAGTACTTCTCAAAGATCACAAGTTACAAGCTGGAACAGATGCTTGCTAGTACAAGTGAAACTCAAATTACATTATCAAATGCTGTAGAGAGAACTCTTCACATTACTAAAAGACATTCGCTCTTTAACGGAAATACATACATGGACAGGTTCTAGTTTATAGAATACAATTGATGTATTTCGCAAGGTGATAGGCCGATTGTTTTTGAAAAAACAATCAACTATCAAATAAGCTAAATAATTTCACGCTCGCTTCAAACTCGTCATTAATTCAACAATTAGAGATACAAAGAAGCTGCTGCAGTTCATGTTTACTTTTACCGTGACCGATAAACATTTGTTCAATTAAAATACATGTGTAGCCACGTTCTGGTTTATGGCATACAGTTGAATGTATTCAAAAGGAGATAGACTAGTGTTTTTGGTAGGAACAAGCTGTTAATCAAGTTAAGCTACAAAATTTCCGATTCAATTTAGCCGTCATTTCTGAATTGTAAAGTAACTCAACAATCAAGAACATAGTTTTAAAGAAACATGTGCACATCATGTTTATTTACCAAGACCAAAAACTGGAGCAACCAGTATATCAAATTATTCAGATTAAGAGTTAAATTCCAATCCAATTCACATGTCTGTAGGTGTTACCCAGAGTTTGACATACCCTTTTATTCTAAACCATAAAACATACTAATAAGCATGATAAGAAGGTTATACTGTTTCTTTGAAAATTTTAAAGCACATACTGACAATTAGAATTCTCATGAGTTGCCTCACTTGTCACCTCAAATGTTTTCCAAACACATGAAAACACTAATTGGGCCTGCTTAATGAACAAAGCATTAGTAATAAGCTAAGGAAAAGCTTACACTATAAGCATTCCAGCCTGGAACCGATACCATCCCCTGGGGTAAAATCAAGGGTGCATAACTTGATGGACCTTGCCAACGGGGGCTGGGAATGAAAGATCCTCTTGACCAATTTGTAATCCCTCCTGGATATGACTGCTGACCAGGAGTGGTTGGAGAAGGGACAGTTTGATAAATAGGAGAGCCACTCAATGAAACCATCATATTAGTTGGTTGAGGATGGTGAAATTTACAAGTACTCCCGAACTTGCATTGTCCAGTTCTTAAATAATAAGCACACTCAGTCTCTTCCTGTATAAAGGAAAAGGAAAGTAAATTACACTGACTATGAATCACCCATAACCACAAAAAAAAACTATATGTTAGAAACCTATCATTGAAGAAGTACAGCTTGCCAACAAGGTCCAAACTTACATAACCAAACAAATTTTTTAGGCTAAAAATGGTCCGAAATTCAGCAGTATTTTTTGTTCATGAATTCATATTTAAATTTGAAAACAATTTCGTAGCTCAAAACTGAAATGAGGAAAGCTTCTCTTTGAGTCATAGCAAGTGATAAAGATTTTAATTCAGAATCTGTCTACATATGTCCATTTTTCACATTGGAACTAATCTGGATGGCATTAGTTTCTGGATTTTCTCAATTAATCCAATTAAAAAATTAAGGAAAAAGTGACAAAACTGAAACCAGGACATGAATATTGACATACTTGTATCATTGTAAAATTGTATTTTAAGGAGAGAAGAAAGGAAAAAATAAAATCCAAACCGGGCGAAGAGGGTAGCCCAAAATATTCAAGGAAACTCTCCCAGCTATCCCAGCTTTGTCCCTAGGATGGTGAAACTTGCATGTAGCTCCAAATTTGCAAGTTCCTATTTTCAGGTAGTACTGCAGAGCAGTTAAAAGAAAAATGTCAGTTGTTGGATCGGAACATATATGAAAATGAGAACCATAGAGTCCTATAATTGGACATGGTGCAGTAAAACCAAAAGATTAGCTTCTGTTGAGATTGCAGTTTAGCTTCCAATGCAGTAAAAGTAGGAGTCAGAGCCATCCAGCCTTTGCAGAATGGAAAAGAAGAAAGCAGGTACAAGAAGTCAGTCACCTAGTCAACCTGACAATTCAGAGTTCAGACTAAAGTTTGACAGCTAAGTCAAACAACTAGAAGAGAAGTAAACCTTTCCTCAATCCAATCTATTAGCATATTTCTATTTTCTTAGTTTCTTTATTTGTTTAGTTCCTTATACTAGGATCAAGTCAGTATTTCATCTGTCTTTATGAATTGCTTTTGACAGCAAGAACCTTTGAAGCAAAAGAAGAGACAAGGGAGGAAGAAACCACGTACAAACTTTATCATCAACAACCTATGTTGGTTATACTATTATTTTCAATAAAGTTTCCCTTAACCTAAAATTAGTCTCACTCTGTTCAACGTTCAGCAGGATTTGTCCCTAAATCTGAAGTAGTCCTTGTTTCATTATGAACAAAATTAGAAGTAGCACGAACACTCATTTAATTCTAGTGCATTATCCATATAGATGTGAACAAATTCTTCACTGCAAAACTAATGGATCCAACTGTGAAATCCATAAGAATTCACGAATAACAGCATATTGAATTTGCAGAGAAAAGTCAGCATTCACTTTTATATCAAAAATTTTTAGCAGTAATTTTGATTAAATCAACCAATATACAACTAATAAAATTAATTTCCTTTTTCAGATACATAAAACGTAGTATACTTCATGTTAACCATGCATTGCATATTGTCGCATACGAAACCAAAGAACAAATACATGCCTGACATTCAGGTTGTCCTACTCTTTCCGGAAACTCTCCTTTCACCCTTGCTGCAGCATTAGCCTGGAATTTGATATAATCTAAGCAAACATTTCAACTGACAATTGATATTTAAAAACTCAAATGAGTAGTACTAAGTTAAATTAAATCACTGCAGAAGGTTAAGTATAATCCCCCCTTTTCCTTTTTTTGGCAGCAACTGTAGTGTGTATGCATGTAAAAAACAATGCTAATCTCAAGTATCTAATACTCTATAAATTTCCTACAATGATTTAGTTGTAAAGATCCATGTGTAAAAGTTTCACGCCTACAACTTCTTAGCAATATTATGCCAATGACAATAATACAAGGCCACTAAAATTGAGCTCTTCCGCATTGTACCAAAATATCCCACTCAAAAAGCATTAACTCTGGACAGGACTTGTTCATTTAATTATACAAATAGCTCTAAGAGGCGGCATCTATTAGTTCTAGAGTTAAAATATCATCACCTGCAACTCTGTCCCCTATTCCCAAATTAAGGTTCTTTGTACCCAAAAAAAAGTTGACTCTGAACTCACAAAAGCCATGGATTTATACCAGTTTATGGTTTGGAGGATGATTAAAATGACATGATGCCCCAAATCTACAAAGGCCTGTCCTGATATAATAAGAACAATCAGGTTCTCCAGGACGCTCAGGATAGGCACTAGATTACATCGTTACTGGATCTCAAGTTCATTTGCCACATACCAGACAATTGACGGGCTTTGAAAGTTTTTGCGGTTTCTAGGCCTCAACAAATGGTTCGTCACACCTATTCATGAGCTGGATCGCTTGGCAAGTTGGCTGCAAAATTGGCCCATTTAGACCGATCTACGATAGTTTTCTACATTAAGGGAGTCAGGATTTTAATTTAGGGGTAAAGTATAATTAATAATAGAAAATAAATCGATAAAATTAAAATAAATCAAAATTAAAAGTCTAAATAAATAATTATTTCTATATATTTTAATGGTAAAAAAAATTATGATGGTAGTGGGCCCAAAAGGACACATGGTTCCGTCCCTGGTTTTCTATTACAATATTGACCGATTTAACCGATTTAACTAAATGTCATCTGAAGAGATAGGCATGTAAATATTCAATCATATGATCCAAAATAGAGATATAAGATAACTAAATGTCATCTGAAGAGATAGGCATGTAAATGAACTGAACGTTCAGAGAACCGTGTGGCGGGAAGTTCGTTTATGTTCGTTTATTTATTAAATGAACGAACATGAACAAGATTTTACGTTCGTTTAATTAAATGAACGAACATGAACAAAGGGTTTGTTCGTTCATTTACGTTCGTGAACGTTCGTTTATATGTTCGCTTACTTTTGTTCATTTATGTTCGTTCATTTATGTTCGAACAGAGAGCAAGTTGAATGTGTTACGAATATTATTGAAGTTGTTTGGATTTCAAGAAGATTGTTTTGTTGAACAAATTAACTTTAAGACTTTATTATGTTCATATAGTTTTTTTTATGATTTATGTATGATTTTTGTCGTATTCGAACAAATTAACTCTAAAGTTGCAGGTTATATTAATTAATTAATTTTAAGTTGTTATTCTTGTTGTTTACCTTTTTTTACATTCATGTTGTGTTCGAATAAATTTGTTTTTTGTGTTTGTGTTGTTCGTTTATTTTGTTCGTTTGTATTTGTTTACGTTTGTTTATGTTCGTTTATCATTTAAATGAACGAACATGAACAAGTTATATTCCTTAATGAACGAACATGAACAAAAAAAATCGTTTATGTTCGTGTTCGTTTATTTATTAAATGAACGAATATGAATATACCTCCGTTCGTGTGCGTTCGGTTCGTTTACAGGCCTATGAAGAGATGTATTAAATCTAACTTTGAGAGAGAGAAAAACACGCTATAGGAGCATATTAAACATCTACCATTTCTTATACGAAAAAGTAAAATATCTATTAAACGAAAAAAACTAGCATAACTCGTATTATGAGGGGAAAAATGAAAACAAAACCAGAAGAAGAAAAAAACTCTTAGTCGCTAACTGATTCAGAACTAGCATATGTTCAGAAAATTTTAATCTATTGACAACGCACATATTTCTTGCAAACAATGTTGCTCGAATACAAGACTTCTACTCTTATAGGAAAAAAATATATTTTTACAATTGAGTCCACTTGATGAGTTCATTAATCGTTTATTATACTTGATTCTTATTTAACATTTACATTAAAAAGTAGTTAATATTTTAAGAAAAGTCCAATTAAAAATAGCCAACCGAAATCCCCAGATATTGAATCCTCCATGCAGTTTTTCCAAATTTAAAATGAACGAGGATGAAGGAGACGTCAGACAAAGGGACGGTGCATGCTTTTTCTTGGCCAATTGAATCATCATATATACAACATGGGAATAACCTTGTACCCGCGCATGCACTTTACTTTCCAATAAGGTACAACTAACTTCCTCACATAATCATGGGTTTTAGAACCGGACCGATTAGCGAATTGGTCATATTACCGGTTTACTAGTTCAACGGGTTGAATTGATCCGATCGATCGAAAGAACCGGACGACGTCATAATTATTTAAAAAATTAAATAAAAATACCAAAAATATTTAATAAAAAATAATTTTTTATATCACAAGTCATATTCAAAGCAAGTCATAACATATATAAGTTAAAAACCATAAAATCAAGTGAAACAAAATGATTCAAATTAACTACAACATAATATTTAAGGTAAAACATATTAAATAATAAATATAATTATATACCTATAATTAAAAAATAAATTTGGGGTTAAAAAAATCATAACAAAATGACATTGTTTGGTTTAATTTTTTTTAAAAAACAATATCGCATGGCTAAAAAACATAGAAGAGCATCCCAAAAGTCTAAAGAGTAAAAATATGAGAACAAAACAATCTTACATTGCTAAAAAACATAGAAGCTCATCACAACTAACTTCTATAAATAATAGAGGTAATTTGACATTCAAAATCATGGAGCCTTTTAGTGAGCATTGAGTGAACTATTCTTTCACTTCAATCAAGCTTGAATTTTAGGCTTCAATCGAGCTTCTAATTTTTTTTTGAGTTCAAGCCTTTTTGAGTTCAAGTTTCAATATTATATTTCGAGTTTGAGTTGAACTTGATAATTTTTAGCTTGTGAGTTTGAGTTGAGTTGAGCTTACTTTTAAAGTTTTCAAGTTCGAGTCGAGCTCAGCAATACTCGAGTTCGACTTGGCTCGTTTAACAAACGACGTTGTTTGGTTTAATTTTTTAAAAAAAACAAAAATCCCAGTTTTTTCCGGTTTTCAACCGGTCCGGTTCGAACGGTTCAGCGATTCTGGCCGGTTCACTAATAGCGATTCAACCGGTTTAGATTGAACCGAACTAAGCAACGATTCCCTGTTAAACCGGTAGAACCGGCCGGTCCGATCCGATTTTTAAAACAGAGCACATAATTGAAAACAAACAAATAAATTACGGGTCAAATCTGGCCTCCTCAATCATATATATATAAATATAAGATTATTATTTAATATATCTTTACGAGTCTTTACGAGACATTCGATTTACAAAAATATTATCGGAGCAATATTATTTTTAGAAAAAATTATTAGTGGGGCTCATTTTCATTTAAAAAGCTAGGCATGGCGTTTTAATGGTCAATGGCTGCCACCTGATTGAACACCTAGCTTGACTTGTCTTGCAGTTTGCCCAAAGAAATGGAATTTTGGGGGACTCCTCCTGCGCACCTTTATCTATTGCTTGTCTAGTTTGTTTTGATAATATATTATATATATATATACATACGCTATTGCTTATTTTATCAGCTATCATTTTGGCCTTTGTTGATATAGTCTCCAATGTGGCTTAGTCAAACCATTTTCCACTTATCCTTTTTTGTAAGTGGAAATTACTTAATTGTTTTATTCTCGTTAATGCTTCATTAGGTTAAAAAATTTCAATTATTCATAATGTGAACTCCCTATAAATACCAAGTTAACCTACTAGGCTAAACACAGTTAAAAAACAACTCAAAAACAAATTCAAATGAATTCTTTTCTTTAATTTTTGGTGATAGGCGAAGATAAGAAATAATTCATGATTTCGGCAGTTGTGTTACTGTACGTTGATCATCTAGTTGTCGTATTCTGGTAGATAAACGACCAAAAATCTCGAACACCAATGAATGACAAAAAATATGTTTTAAGAAAACTGCGTAGTTACATGCCTCAACTCGTTTTCAATCGGTTGTTTCGTTTTCAATCGTGTATTTGTTTCAGTATTATTTTTTTATCATTTAATAAGATTTTTTTCCTTTTATTTGTACCGTCTCGGATATTATACCTCTAACAATCTTAAGATATATATTTTTTATCCTAGACGACTGACGAAATAAAAAGAAAAATGTAGTTGTGGTGGTATTTCATACGGCATTGTTCAATATCTACATATAGTTTTATTTTGTTCTCTATTAACGTGTTTTTTCTTCTTGTTGCGAGATCCAATCGTTGCGACAAGTTAAGATATGCCATCCATACATGATGCCATCCATACATGAATTTGGTTTGTTGGCTTCGAAAATTTGCTTAGTTTTGTCTTTTGCGATTCGCTTGGACTTGTGCGATGCATGGTAGCTTCGCATGGTTTGAATTGCACTGATTACATGAAACATGAACCTTTTCAAATAAATTACGTATTTCATATTTATTTGTTGTTCAATTCAATTATGATAATATTTGAAATTATCATTATTATTTTATTTTGGACTAATGTATGGTTTAAAGACAGATTCTATTTTCTACCTTTCTAGGAAAAAAATCCGAGATTATTTGGAAATCTTAGTAAAAGCTTAAAAAACAAATAAATTATTTTCGAGATTTATCCTATCGTTTTAACGAGTTTACTAAAAGTGGATAAATCTATTTAAATAGATATTATCGTTAAAGTAATGTTAGTTATTAAGTTTGAAACGTTATTTCTATTCGATAAAAAATTAAAAATAAGCGAAATTGATTTTAATATGCACAAACTCACGTAGGAATCAACTTGGGTAAATACACAAATGCATATCTGATTATTACCTATAAATGTGAACAATTAAAAACGTGTAATTTACTCTTTCAATGCTTACTTCATAAAGGTAATTTAATTAATAATATATTTTGATATGTCACTTCAATAATGTATTACGGTGCTCCACGCGTTATAGAATTTTCCTTTTGATTTAATATATAATTATGAATTCTGAGTTCGGTAAAAAAAGAGAGTGTAATAATATGTGTAAATTACCTTTTTCCCCACCACCCATAGGAATTATAGAACTGGAAAAGATTACCACGTGTGGGCGTGATTTAAAGGATCGGTCACAAAAGTCAAAATATTACCCCTCCTTTTTTATATTTTAAAAAATTAAATGCCACAATATCTCAACCATTCTATTCTTTAATAGAAATCATATATACATATTTATGTATCCAAATAAATTATTATTTTGAAGTAAAAATGATTTATTTTAATTTATTTATTTATTTTATAAAGATAAAATAAAAGAGTTTTATTAAAGAAAAAAGAACAAGAAAAATAAATGACCCAACCATAAATACGAGTCCCGGTTTCCCAAAACCATCCCCGTAGAAAAGAGTTTCGTTATAAGAACTTGAATCCCAACCGAATGCTATGTCGTTTTCAAAGAAAATAAAAACCCTCTCTTAATCCTCTCTTGTAAAACCAGCCGTAAATTGTTCTTCCGATTGCTCTTGATCACGCGGCCTTTTCTCCTTTATTTTTCTTTCTTTTATTGAATCCGAAAGATGGGGTGCATTGTGGAAGAAGACGATGGAGACGACGTCATAATGGAGCCGCCATCCAATTTTTCTATGGTGGACGAAGGGATTTACAGATCTAGTTGCCCTCGACCCGCCAATTTCTCCTTCTTGGAAACCCTAAACCTCCGATCCATCATGTAACGTCTTCTTCTTCTTCTTCTTCTTTATTTTGGTTCTCGGTTGCATTGACGAAGTGCTTTTTTTTCGTCGCATTGGTGATGTGCTTTTCTTCCTTGTTTTTAAAGCTCTTTTGGAAGCTTGATTCTCCTCCTTAGTGCCGTCGGTTTTATTGATAATTAAGTTTGACTGTTTGGTTTTTTGAAAAATTAAGAGAAAACTAACTATCTTTTTCTTTCCTTTCAATTTTGCAGATATTTATGTCCGGAGCCATACCCTGAGGAGAATATGGAGTTTCTTCGAACTCATAATATCACGCTTTTCCAGTTCGGGATTGAAGGGAAAACGGTATTTCCCCTAGATTTTTAAGTTGATCACTGCTGGTATACACATATTGAATTTAAGTCGTTTTCATCTTTGAATATGTGAAGAATCAGTTGCCAGTCTAATAAAGATTTTTTTTCAAGGAATTTTGAGGAGTAACTAAGATTTCTACGAGACTTTTGGGTTACCATTGACTATCCAGCCTATTTGAATTTGGTCAAGAATGTAATTCTTTAGTTCTTGGACTTACTAGGATATAAATTTTAGAAAGCTGATGAATTAAGAAGAATCTTGAATGCGAATAAGAATAAATTATAAATGATTCAGAAAAAAATTATAATCTTAGAAGCAAAGATAATTTATTCTTTAAATCTGGGATATGATAATTCTGTTATTAACTGTACTTTTGATTCCCAATAGCTTACTATTATTTTTTTTCCTTCATTTTTTTCTCAGGAGCCTTCAGCTACTACCCTTAAGGATGCAATCAAGGGAGCTCTCAAGATTTTAATCGGTATGGAATTCATAAACATTGGAATTGCCCCTTTTGTTTCATCTTTGTACCATGGTGGTTTACCTTGACCACTTTTAATATAAACTTGTTTCTTCACAGATGTGAGGAATCATCCTGTTTTGATCCACTGCAAGCAAGGAAAGGTAATTAATAATCCAAATTCAGCTATTATCCTAGAAATATTAGCTTAGTATGAATTAAATATCGGGTATACGATGCATTTATGCCTTTTGGCATCGAGTTTTCCTTGAGTGTTTAGGTTGGCTGATAAGATATTTGATCCATATATATATGACACTTTAAGTTGAATTAAATGAAAGCTACATGAAAAGAACTGTATGACTCTTTAAGTACTTGATTTTTGTTCTTTTTCCCAGTGACATCAAAGGGGCTGGTTTCATTTTTCTTTAAAGAAAATTATGGCATCTAACTTTTTATCCTTAGTGCAGCATCGGACGGGTAGCCTTGTTGGTTGCTTGAGGAAATTGCAGAATTGGTGCTTGTCATCTGTATTTGAGGAGTACCAGCATTTTGCTGGCATTAAATCCCGACCTACCGATATGAGATTTATTGAAACGTTTGACGTTGTGTGCCTGAGGCAGTGTCTTTACAGCCTTATTTACCAGTACCATGGATATGGTTCAAAAAAGAGGCGGCTGCTGTACAGAGAAGACAATGTACAAAAGCCCCGATTAGCGTCTGTTTAGATGATATAGTTTTTTTACAAATTAGTTTTCCAGTTGCTGTTTATACAGCTTAATAGAAATTGTGTGAAGTGCATTAGTTTTTCAAGTATGTTTTATTCTATTATTCAAATTTTAAATTTGTTATTCTTTTTTATTTTTAGTACAAAATAAACATGTCATTTTAAATTAAAAATTAAAAAGACCACAAACAGACAAAACTGATAAGTTATATGTGAGAGATCAGGTTGAGGTTAATTAGAGCTGTAAATAATCTTCTCTTTACCAAAACCGCCTCTTTCGAGCTGCAAATATGGTACTGATAAATGATGCTCTAATGATACGTGCATGCCTGCTTACTTGTCAAATTAGGTGCTCTTCTAGCCCCGTCCTGCTTGGCCTGAGATTTTTACTGCTATGTTTGCGCGAAGGTTTGATTGTTGCTTGCTCGACCTCTCCAGCTGATGTTTCTGATGTGATTAGGTATCGGCAGCTGCCCCGAACCTACCTGCGTAGGAGCAACAGTCCCATTATGTAGGGGGGTTGGGTCAGCCCCATATATTCCGGTACTGTTTTAAACTGATCAATTGCTGCAGAGCTATTTTTTGGTGTGTGTTTTCTTATTGTATGGGAGAGACATGCTTCCCATGTGTAGTAGTCAATGGTAGGAGTGGGGGACCTTACTTGTAATGTAGAGATCTCCAATCTATGTTAATAATAAAAAGAAGAGCATTTTCCTATTTCTGTATCTGGTTGATGTCTCCTTTAAAGCATACATTTGCTGTGCATATTGTGCTAGCCTTATTAGTCCTCATGATGCATGGAATTTAATTGGAGACTTGATAAATATTTCAGTTAAAGGGAAAGCATGAGCAGGAAGTCTATTACTAAGAAATAATCTTCATGATCATCTCCCAACATCAAATTTGCAGTATAAGATGAATCACATTCTAACATCAGACATAATTATAACATATTCAGTATATATAGGGATGCAGAACAGTGTAAGCTTATTCAATGGAAGCTTTCTTCTAACCAGCAGAAACTCGAATAACAACACATCGCCTCTTGAGCCTTTCAAATCGATAAACATTTTCACACTCGGTTACTAATTTTATCCTAACTTGAGCAGTAACATATCATTCAATACCGGAGAAGACCGATCACATTCAAATATTACATAAAACTAAGCACTGAAGAACGATTTAAGGCTACCAAAATGAAGCTTTACCCTGCAGCAGTATTAGTAACTGAAGGAATCACATTACCTGCCACAAAGATCGTTCTCGGGACTTTTGAGTACAACCCTACAGAAGGAAAACAATTTTGTTGATCCAAGTACATAAACATAACACTCGATCACTAATTCTAACCCAACTTAAGCAATAATGTAACATTTGTAACTCGAATTCATTGGTATATAAATGAACCGCGAAAAACAGTAATTAGATGCATTGTAGTATCCGCATCCCACAATAAATTAACCAGATGATACAAAATCTTGGACATAAAGGCAGCACTGCAAGGCAAGCACATATATAAATTAATGCAACAGGGGCATCAAGGAAACACCCTCTTTCACCTTCCTAATCAGTAATCTCTTGGATTGAAACATCCAAGCACTTCAACTAGTAAAGTTCTTATCCAAGCTGTTATACTCAATAAATTAGCTAAAGAAACTAAACCTAGTTGCTATTCAGGTTTCTAAGAAATAAGTTCATGCATGAAAAAAATCCCATACCCACAAACACTTCATCAGAATTAAATAAAGAAGGTGTAACATAGTCACCATCATCGCATTCAAGATGGTTAATATACACCATCATTTCCATAGTCAAGGGAGGCGCCTTACAAAGCTAATCCAGCTTTTTTTTATCCAAACATACTACTAAAGAAGACAAACCCAGATTTCAAGACAACCCAGAAGCACGAAATCTTAAAGAAAATGGTCTAATTTTATTAATAAAGCTCACTTCTTCAAGCTACCCCTAACACCGGGACGAGGCTTGGAAGAATCGGCGACATGAGTAGCATGAAGATCCACAAGCTTCGACTCTTCAAAGGGAATCTTAGGGTGCTTGGATTCATGGTGCACCTGCATCGACTTCACACCTGGGGCCGTTATTTTGCAATGGGGACACTCGAACTTAGCATGTCCACCCTTCTCCACTCCCGAACGATCAGCTAATCCGGCCTTGCCTCCTCCTCGGTTGGTTGTGGCGACGTCGATCTTGGCTGCGATTTCCTTGGCTGTGTGCTTCTTCGGCTTGGCTTTTCCCGTCATGATCGATTGAGAAACAAGCGTTGATAATCAATAGACTTACTGGTTTTTTCCCCCTCCTTTTGCCTTTTATTCGGTAAAAATATATGCTTAATGGCTAAGGGACCGAAGATATTATGGTGGGGGAGAGAAGTAGAGGAACTAATATAATATTTTATATATTTAACAAGATGTGTTTGATAGCATAAAAATGTTTTTTTTCATTTTTTTTAGTTTGATAACAGAAAAATATTTTTTTTGTGTTTAATAGCTGAAAAATATTTTTTAGTGATGAATAGTTGTAATTGATTTTTTTAATGTAAATCATTTTTCTAATTCTTTGTATTTTATGTAAAATGTTTTACATCTGATTTTTAGTAAAACATTTTTCTAACTTTTCATTTTAGAATATAAACACTCAAAAAATATTATTTTATTTATTTAATATTAATATAATATTTTAATATTATTTTAATGAAAATATTAATTATTAAAGTATTTAATATATATAATATAATTTTAATAATATTATATTAATATATACTCAATTATATTATAATAATATATTATATTATTTTTTAATTTAATAATGTATAATAAATTATTAATATAGTTAATAGTATTTATTTTTTTAAATATAATATTATTAAATTATTAATAATGAATAATATTAATTTTTACATTTAATATTAATATAATAATTTAGTATTATGCTAATAAAATACTAATAATTAAAATTAGGAATGTTCAAACGGTTAATTCAACCACCGATCGAATTGAATTACCATTAATCGAATTAGTCTAACTTTTTTATTTAATCATTAATCAAACTGTTTTTTTAATATTAACTTAATCAAACTTTATTCAATTTATGTAAATCATTTTCTATAAAATTAATTATAATGTACCAACAATTAGTGAAAATGATTTACAAAATATCATCAAAACACTATAAAATATATTTTTCAAAATTGTTTTTCCATGAAATGTAATTTATTTTACGTAAAACAGTTTTAGTAATTCATTTTACGTAAAACAGTTTTAGTAATTCATTTAACGTAAAACAGTTTTCATGTAATTCATTTTTACGTAATTTTCATGTAATTCGTTTTTACATAAAACATTTTTCAGTAATTCATTTTACGTAAATTATTTTTCAGAAAATCAATTACAGTCTATCAAACATACCCTTATTGTAATCATGTTTGTCCCGTATTTTATTAAATTCTAATTCTAATTATATTTAACAAAATAATAATAAAAATAGAGAATACAACAAAAGACCATTTGAACAATCGTGCACAAATCACTAGGTACAACCAATTTTAACGTGTAATATTTAATTTCTAAATATAAAATTAAAAATCATATATGATCACATATAGTAGTAAAATCTGTATAAGAAACAACACAATACGAGGAATCAAACCTATATATGATGATTTAACAACATAAAAAGAGCAAGCACCTAAAGTATACCCCAACAACTTACCAGGCTCGGGTAAGAAGTGATTTTCGATCTAGGATCGAAAATGTCTAGCGGCCCACCTATAGACCTATGATGATGTTACACATTCATGGTCGACAATGGGAAGGCAAGGATCCAAATGGCCATCATCGTGACTGGCAACTGTTGATAAAAATTCTGGGGTATCGGCAGTTGTATCCATCTTCTGATGTTCTTACCGTCCCTGTTGAGGTGTTTGTCCCCTTCGGATCACCTTCTGAAGGATTTGTGCCGACAACTTTTCCATTCGAAGGAACTTTCTGCATAGACATTTGATCATCGGCCGATTTAGAAGGATGGAATCCCAAATTAGCATTGTCATTCACAGTGTCATTTAAAACTGACTTCGGTGACTGAATCTGTTACAGAACTTGATGAAGTAGCTTCTTTGGAAATTCAACATTTAAAGGTGTATCCACCAAATGGACAAGGGGTTGATAACTGGCCTCAGCCTTCTGAACTACATTCAACGAGGAAGAAACCTACACAAATAAAATTGATCACTAATAGAAATAGTGGTTTATATGAAATGTTTAAATATACATGCGACGGCTGAAAGGGATTGGCTACCAGGATGAACTCACCCCATTAGAATTACCCATAAATATCTATAAAGTATATCAACCATAACAAATATCACATGCGATTGATGCTAGACATCAATTACTCTAACAGTCCATGTAATTAGTCTTTTAGTTAGAGTAGTATTGCAACTGTAAATAAGATGGAACTAATCTAACCGTCCATGTAATTATATCTAAATAGTTAGATATAAAGGAAGTTCATTATAAAAGGAACCCCTTTCCACCTCTTTGTATACACTTGAGATTTGTGAATACAATCAAACATTCACGTCAAATCTCTTTTCTTGTTTCTTTGTGTTGCACATCAATCTCGTGAGTTTTCTTTGGCATCATTCTAAGCAATTGAATTTAGTGTTTAACTGACTTAATCATTCACCCAACTAAAAAATATGTTTTGAGGCCGCACAAATCAACTACTCACATTTTAATCCCGTGACATTGAGCATTGGGCAACATAATGGGAGAATCCAACAATGTTGTGGGGCTCCCAAAAGAAATAGTAAGTTAAGCTGATCGGATCAATGGGGAAGTCAATGGGCTAACGGAGTCCTGAAACCTAATTATATTTCTGCCTTAAATTCACACATTACTGCCTCCTCACCACAATGATGTCGCCTTTCCAATCAAAAACACTACCTCCACTTCAATGATTGACGGTTTTATTAATAATTCCCCACCTATAATTTTTATAATACTTTAGTTTATAAATTTTGTTTTCATTGATTTACCATTAATTGTTAAATATCGTTATCTCCTTTTTATTTATAATTTAACTTAAGTCTTTTTCTATTGATCGTTTAAATTTTGGTTGAACTGGTGTTATCAAATAAAAGATAGTGAAGGACTTTTACCGCCACTTTTCATAAAGATTGTGGAGGAAACCGATCAGTTTTTAACTAATTTTTATTATAATTTTAGACTTAACAATTTTTACAAATTATTATTGTCTACCAAACAAAAAAAAAACTACCTTACTTTAGATGCTATCATATGGTATTATAAACTAAAACAACAAAAATATATGATCATATCCTGAATTTATTTAAAATTATTAGATGATGTATTGATATAGCTATATTTTTAAAATTATTAAAATTTAAAAATAATTTAAATTTTAGTTATATTTTTTATATGTAAAATTATTTTGATATTATATATATAACATAATGATAAAAATACATTTAACGTTTAAATAGTCATTTTGATTCCTTTCTTTTGGATCACTTTATTATTAATGTTTTATCTTGGGAAAAAAATGAAACATGGTTGGATGGAAACCGTTAGTTGACAAACGATTAACGCTTGTCGCTGACGTGACAGATAAGTATTGTGTGTCCAAAGTGATAACATGACACATGTCACGTGTATATAAGTTACGACGTGGCACGTCACATGTGTTGGCTCAATCGATCAACCGAAAAATGTCAAGATGGGTGAATTGACTTTTTGAAAATTTAGGGAAATAAAGAGATAGGATAGAAAAGATTTGCATAATGATTTATAGTGGTTCAACTTCCTTAATGATGTTTACATCCACTACCTTAGCTCATCACTAAGGATTTATAACAAACTCACTATTTTGTTCTTTCTTTTTTTAGGCTAAGAGTAACCTTTATAATTTCCCTATCTTTTCATTGGCTAAGATAAAACAACTCCCCTTTTACGAAGGATAAAAAGAGTGTAAACAATAAATCTCTCAAATGAAGGTGTTTGCAATTTAAGCTCACAATAAACACACTATTTACAAGAGAAAAATGAAAAAAATAGTGAAAAACTTTTCTCTTGATGATCAATGCTTGGAAGGTGCCGTGTCACATTCTTCAAGTGTCTTTAACTTGTTGTTATATGTTGGAATGAGTTACTAGTCATTTATATCCGTTGGGGATGATTTGGAGCTGAAAAATCTGCAATTTTACACAGGGGTTTCGAAACCACCAAGGTTTTGAAACCTCGCTTAAAAATTTGACCATTGGATGTGAGGGGGGTTTCGAAACATGTAGGCCATTTTTACATTCTGCCTTAGTGGTTTCAAAACCATCTAGGGAGGTTTCGAAACCAAACCCAAAATTGTATGATTTCACTTTTTAAATCTTAAAACTTGAATTATTTTTGCAATGTTGAAACAAATTCAATTAAGTCCATAAACATTTTTGCTCTTATTTGTTATATCAAAATATTGGTTCTACAATATGTTCAAAATGATGACACGATACATGTCACATATGCATAAGTGATGATGTGACACATTCACATACCACGCGTACATAAGTGATGATATGAAAAATGTCACATGTACGTAAGTAATGGTGTGACATATACCACGTCATCACTTTGGGCACAAAAATTATCACGTTAACGATAAACATTGACCATTAATCAATCAAACTAATAGGTACTTTACTCTAAATTAAAATATTGGGACTTAAATGCTTGAAAGAAGAATGAAATATTTTAGGTAAACTTTGGTATTATACCTTTATATATATAGTTAAGCTTGAGGTAGAGCATCCAGCTCAGTTGGTAGAGCATCCAGCTCAGTTGGTAGAGCACAAGGTTCTTAACCTTGAGGTCGTGGGATCGAGTCCCATGGAGGGCGTTTCATAATTTGGAGGTCTCCTACGGAAGTTGCTATCAACCTAGTGTTGTGGGCAGCCTACTATCTTATCTCCACTTACTCCATTACATATGGGAACAAGGGACAACCCATGTGGTTAAGCTGACTCTCCCTTTCGGATTAATTTAACGTTGTTGTTGCTGCATGTGCAACCGGGTGTAGATATATGGCATTGGGAGGAGAGTATGGAAGGGGAAAGAAGACCAAGAGGAAGCAAAAGAAGAGTTAATGGAATACTTGAAGACCCTTGAAGAAGAGCTGGGAAACAAGCTTTACTTTGGGGGAGAGACCATCGGGCTGGTGGATGTGGCCCTTGTACCTTTCACCCCTTGGTTTTATACTTACGAGACCTGTGGGAATTTCAGCATAGAGGCAGGGTGCCCCAAGCTTGTTGCATGGGCCAATAGGTGCAAGCAGAATCATCAAAGTGTGGCTAATGCACTCCCTCATCCCCACCAGATTTATGATTACCTAGTGCAGCTCAAGAAGGGGCTCGGATTGGCATAAAGCAAGCATGTGTCCACTGATTCCAGTATTTTCCATGTCGTTTTGTCTCATCTCAAAATATTCTTGCGTGATATCAGTTGAATAAAAAAAGCAATGCGTATTATATATTTTTTTAAAAAATTTCAAGATGATTACAAAATGATATCTACTCAAAATTTAATCATTAATAACATATGCTCGAACTTATTAATAACATATGCTTGAACTTGAATCATCTTAAAAATAATAAAATTATCTATACTATTTACTAGTGGATTGTGTTTGTGAAGAACAAACAAATGGTTAGATGGAACGTAAGAAGTTGCTGCTCGCATTCCTATAAATGTCCAAATCTTAAAACCCAGCAAAAAATCCATGCCAGGGCGACAACTCGGGGGCTACTGCAAAACCACAACACAACCAAGCCTTGTCTTGCAAAATACTCACCACCTACGCCAATCTGAACTTCCCCAAATGAAGCAAACGAAGTCTTCAACCGAATCGAGCAACCAGACATTTTCATGGGCTTGCCTCATTAGCCTTTTCTCACGATACAAGTCAAATCTGTCTTCGCCTTCTCCCAGTTGATGCGTACCGGTTTAAGACCCGAAAGTTATTCTGTCGTCGCCGCCTTGCCCGCTTGCGGTAAAAGCAAAGATTTGGTTAATGGGAAGCTAATTCATGGACTTGTTTTGAAATATAACTTGGGTTTTAAGAGCTCAATTGTTGGAAATGCTCTTATTGATATGTATAGTAGAAATGGAGAAATTATAGTGGCCGAACTGGTTTTTTGATTGTATGTATGTTAAAGATGTTGCTTCTTGGAATAGTTTGCTGAATGGTTTTGTTTTGTGCAATGATCAGGAGGCTTCTCACCGCGTGCTCGATAAAATGCCGAAGAGAAATGAAGTTTCGTGGTCGGCTTTAATATCTGGGTATGTAAAACGGAAGGAATTTAATATCTGGGTATGTAAAACGGAAGGAACCGTTGATAGGAATGAAGCTCTTTAAGGAAATGAGAAGTCGGGGGAAAGTTAATCCCACGATCGTTACTGTCGTCGCTGTTCTCGCCGGGTTATCAGATAATGGGGCTCTTTATTTTGGTGGGAGTGTTCATGGTTATGTTAAGAAAGTCAATTTGGATGCATAGAAGAATTTTGTTTTGAGTAATGCTTTGATGGATATGTATTCAAAGTGTGGATACGTCGGTGTTGCTGGGATGATTTTTGATGAAATATTGGCAAGAGATGTGTTTTCATGGACTATTATGATAACTGGATGTGCGTTTCATGGCAAAGGAAAACAAGCTTTGCAGCTGTTTTCCGACATGACGGAGTTGAGGGTTGCTCCAAATGAGGTGACCTTTCTGTCTCTTGTCTCTGCATGTAGCCATGAAGGGTTGTTTGTTGAGGGGCAGGAGTTGTTTAGGAAGATGGTTCAGAACTATGGTTTTAAACCCATGATTGAGCATTACGGATGTGTCGTGGAGCTTCTTGGGCGAGTTGGGCTTTTTGAAGAAGCGAAAATGTTGATAGATCGAGAATAAGAAGTTATTTATGGTATTTATAAATAATTTATACGTTTAATAATTAATCCAAATCTTCAACATTTGTCAACATTGTCAATGTATTTTAATAATACATTATTATTAATATAATTTTATACATCACTAATAAATTATATAGTATAATTAATTATAAAAAATTTATAAGAAATTTTACCCAATCAATTAATCATACGAAGATATATTATCATGAAAATAGAACATAGCTAGGAAGTACAACTTTTGGGTCATCGGGCCTTATCCTATATAACGTGGTCGCCTGAAGTTGTAGTATTTAATAACAGTCACTGTAGCGTGTCGTAACCGGTTTTTGTCCGGGCACGAAATATTAAATTTGGCGGGTAAATTGATGTTTATAAATAATTTTGAAAATAATTTGTGAGTCGCCATCGACCTTTTGAATCAGGTAGGTCGAATACCTAAAAATTTTCTTTTAAAAGAGTTTTTAAGAAAACACCAATTAAAAGATAAACTGATCTGCGTTTTAACCAAAAATTCATTCTTTTTAATAATAAAAAGGGATTCGTGGTCGGTTACGTTTAGGGAAGGATTAGCACCCCTACAACGCCCAAAATTGGTACTTTTTAATTATAAATTGTCTCTATTATTAAAATTTAAAAATATTCAAAAATATATTTAATTTATAATTCTATTATTTCAAAATTATAAAAAATATTTATTTATTTAAAAATCTCCGAAAAGAACTTCTAGGTGCCTTAAGACAGCTCTTTTCTTTGATATTGATAAATATTAATTTTAAATAATATTGTTTACTTTTTAATTTTAAAATATCAGAATAGGACATCCAGTTGTATTAAGACTGTCCTTTTCTTCGATATTAAAAATAAATATTTAAAAGTTATTATTTATTATATATATATTTATGAATATATAAAAATATTTAACAATATAATAAAAGAAAAAATTCTACTAAAACAATATATTAAAAAAACAATAAAATAAATTAAAACATATAAAATAAATGACTAAATTATAGTAAAAATAAAATTAAAAATCTAATTCATAATTAATCAAAACTATAGGGATTAAATATGTTATTTCTTTATTTTATTTATTTGGTGACTAAAATAAAATTATCTAAAATTCGGATATTAGATTCAAATAAAAAAAAATATAAACTAGGGATTAAAATATTATTTATTAAAATTAAGGGATCAAATCTGCTATTTATCATAAATATATTATTTATACGGTTAATGGCTAAAATATAAATAAATAAAATTTAGAGACCAAATTAAAAGGATTATAAATTTGATTAGTGACTAAAATGTAAAGATTACAAGTTAGGATGGCTGCGGAAAGGGTTTAACCTTTACCAAATTACACGCAGGTCCTCCCTTAAACGACGCCGTTTAAGAGAGGGTATAAATACCCTATGCTGGCTGGCCCGAAGGGCCATCATCTCATTTCTCATTTCTCTCTTCTCTCTCTTAAATGAGAGAATTTAAATTCTCTCTCATTTCTCTCTAAAGCTGAGAGAGAGACCCGGCCGGCAGTCGCACTCCGGCGTCGGCGACCACCGCCGGCCACCACACGCGGTGGCGGATTTTTCCTAAACACCCCAAAATAACCTCCTAAACCCTATTAGGCCGAATCAGGCGTTAGTTTCCCCTAAAAAACTCCCGATTGGAGTAGATCTGAAGAAATACCTTCGGGTATTTCGAATAGTTTGGTCGGCCCGTAGCGTCTTCGATCACCGGTGGCTTCCTCGGTAAGCTTTCCTTTCTTTCTTTCTTTTTCCTGTTTTTCTTCTTTTCTGTTTTTTGTCTCCCCGTGGCTGTCCGTTCTTTTCTTGCAGGATCCGGTGGCTTTTATAGCCACCACCGAGCCATGCTCGGACCGGTCTAGAGGGGGAATTTCGGTGAGTCACCGAGCTATGTGGTGACTCACCCATAGCCGTGACATGTGGGGAGCAGCTGACCTTCTGGAGGCTTCTGGCGAGGGTGTCGTTGGTGGTGGCGACAGCGGCGGCCGCGTGGTCCCTAGGGTATCATAACCCTAGGCGTCTTGTTGTAAAACTTTGGACCGTTGGATCTTGCCAGATCCAACGGTGGAGATCGTCTGGCGGCTGGGGATGAGATGGAAAACCCAAGTTGGGTTTAGGGTTATTATTTGGGCTTTGTAAATGGGTTTGTAATAATTATTTAATAATAATATACTAATAATAATATTTAATAATAATAATAATAATAAATTTAATAATAATAATAAATTTAAATGAAAAAAAAATGATGTCTACAGCTGCCCCTCTTTGCTCATCCTTGTGTTAACAAGAATAGAGTAAAGACGAAAAAGACAATATATTTTTTTTCATTTGGCTTCTTTTGAGTAGGATGGAAATGTTGAAAACATCATGCACTGAAGGACTTACAGATGACTCGAAGGCTTTGAAAACATCAAAAAGCTCCCGAAGGCTTTTTGGAAACATCATGCACTGAAGGACTTACAGATGACCCGAAGGATTTGAAAACATCAAAAAGCTCCCGAAGGCTTTTTGGAAACATCATGCACTGAAGGACTTACAGATGACCCGAAGCTTTGAAAACAAAAAGCTCCCGAAGGCTTTTTGGAAACATCATGCACTGAAGGACTTACAGATGACCCGAAGGATTTGAAAACATCAAAAAGCTCCCGAAGGCTTTTTGGAAACATCATGCACTGAAGGACTTACAGATGACCCGAAGGATTTGAAAACATCAAAAAGCTCCCGAAGGCTTTTTGGAAACATCATGCATGAAGGACTTACAGATGACCGAAGGCTTTGAAAACATCAAAAAGCTCCCGAAGGCTTTTGGAAACATCATGCACTGAAGGACTTACAGATGTGAGAATAGTTTACTAAGTAAGAAACTATGGAAATTGTTTTCTTACTATTCAACAATTTCATTTTCAGAAAAGATTGAATGAGAAACTATGGAAATCGTTTTCTCATTATTTTTCAAAATAACATGTTGATTGGGTAACATGCCCCAATCTCAAGATAATACTCATTCTTGTGGATTGCGTCCATCTCTTCTTCAGATGTTTGCGTGATTCCTGTATTTTTGGTTTTGAATACCTTCTTCTTGTAAGGTATATTTTTTTTTTTTTTTTTTTTTTCGTTCTTCCGAAGATCTGTAAAACTTCATGTTTGAATGCACTCAGATGTATCAATGTAATGCATTGTCTATTGTGCAAATGATGTTCTTATGAATGCATGAATGTTGATGCAATCTTCATTTGACTTCAAAGTGGTAAACTTGATCTTCCTCTAGTTCATCATTTATTGCCAGGGTTACCTCTGGATATCATTGTAGTAACTTATGCTATCAAGCTTGCATTTCTACCAGAATCATCTGATCAACTTGTATCGTGGTGCCTTCTTTGCTTCATAAAAGTCTTAGAAGAAATGTTTCACTTGTGGAACTCTTGTCGTAGTCAAAATTATGACCCTGAT